TATGGTACATGAACATATATGCGCTGCTCGCAGGTGCCGAATATAAGCCGCAGCGTGCAAAAATCGGCACATTAAGATTTATAGTTGGCGCATAAGCTGCCCTGCGGTGCTGACAATCTGACCACGAAGGTCACCTTGCTGCGTGGTGAAGCGCCAGTACAGTCAATGGTTCCACTACACTTTATCTCGAGGTTTTTGAAACGTTGATCAAAAAGCACCGCCAAATTGCTTCAAAAATGAAAAATCCACCGCAAAACCTCAGTTCAAGTCATCACATTGCTTTGTTGCACGCGTGCTGCACGCGGCATGGCACACACGCACTGCACGCACCACTGCAATCATGTAAACCCTGTTTCCAGGCTAGCCTGACTGCTACCACAGACCCATTTGTGGATATTCCAATCACTGCCTCCTTCCGATAACCATGTGACCACAGAAAGTGTTCTCATCAGAAAACTTCAGTGAAAAAAGCCCTGCAATTCTATGGCATCTCATGCTCAATACCATCGGTGAAAAGACAGTTGATTTTTATTCAACATGTTCAATGGTCGAAAGGAATCCTTAGGTTACAACAATAAAACAATCTGAGTAAACTGTTTATTTGTCTGACAAAAATACATCATGAGACTGAATAAAAAGCAGGAAAATAATCACTACAAAATCTTGCCACAGGGCAAGTAAAGTTTAATTAGATCTTAGATATGGCTGCAGATAGCATGCAAACCTGGTTTGAACACAAGCACATGTGAGTACCCTGTCTTCCATGTGGTGCTCTGCATGTTGCATATAGCATGTCCCAATTGCAGTTCAGTTTGCTGTCTTTGTTCACTGCTATGAAGGGCCTTCGCTGCACACCCTGGATCTGACATCGCCCCAAAGCATGTCGCAAAAGGGCACTCTGTGGTTTCGGACTCGGCAAGGCTGCCGAGATAGAGCATTCTCAGTCTGTATGTGTGAGTGACATTCATCAGAGAAACCCGAGTTACCGGTATCAGATGTAACTACATGTAAATGATAAAAATGGACCAATGCATGTGCTTAACCGACAGCTGTTTTGACAAATCAGGAAATACATGTTCCTCTTAACTAAACAAAATGACTGTCAAAAGTGGATCACTTCATCCTGTTCAGTCATGTTTATGATTTAGGTATGAGATTTCTATGGACAGGCAGTGAGTTTTTCTTCAGATTCCGCCAGACATACATGTACGTGTACAGGTACCTTTTCTTTAGGATTGTCACTCAACACTCTGCCCATCAATTGAGTCACAAATTTTTCCTGGAATTTCGCAGAGTGGGTGAACACTGACCTTAGACTTTGGTTAACTTACATATATGCACCCTATAATCGAACAAATTTGTGATAAATGTGCATGTATGTAACACACTCCATAGCAACATACATGTACATGCTCACACATGGCTTACCCTCTTTTCATAACTACATACAGTACGTTTGTGATCTAGGACGTTACTTGTTGCAGCTACCAAAGGCTACTTTGTTTCATTCCCACGTTTCATGTAAAATGCATGTCTTGGGATGATGGCAGATGAGTTTTGAATGGGTTTCAGCTGAAATGCGATGGCCGTGCCATTTATGAACATGGGTAGCTCAGATTTCTCTGGTATAGGTCAGAGGTAGTGTCAATTTACTGAAGATAGGTTTCCCTGATGCTGCACTGTTATCAGGCGGATAGGATACACCAGTAGTACCCGGTACGACTGTTTGAAAGAGAATGTGATTTATAATGGTTTTTATGTAAGCATAGTTTTTCTGGTGTTAATGTATCAATAGAATTTGATGTTTGATTACATGTATGTAGGTAGGGTTAGAGGCGTCTGTACTAGAAAAGATCAAGATATCACCGACACCAGTAGGGTTAGGCTCGGGCAAGATTCCCCCCCCCCCTTGTTGATGGGAAAGAGGTATCCCCGTATTGTGGTTTGGGTACTAGTGCAGTGATATTTCATTTTAGATGTATTTTGTTCTTTTTTCATCTTATCTTAATCAGTGGTTGATTTTGACAGGTAACCTATGCATGAAATACATACCAGGCACCAGGCAAAATCGACTAGTGGTTAACAAATTGTCACTGATGGAACCCGCCCGTAGTTGACTTGAATATCCATCAGTGTTTCTTCAGACCTTCCTGAAGCCCCTCCCCCTCTTAATGGAAGAAGGTATGATGTTGGGGTCTCTGGGAGACTGTCACAGTGGCTTTGTTTAAAAGTCACATTGCTTGCCGCCAGCGCAAAGGACCAGTGGTAGCATAACTAATGGTTACCAGATTCATCTGTGCAGTTGCTGTCGCAAAAGAATTATTGCCCCTCATTATTTTGTAGCAGAAAGAAGAAATACAGTTCTGTATTGGTCTCTATCAAATGATGTCACGTCCTGTGGATTGCCACAGTGAATCTGCATTTTGACTTCAAATTTTCGTGATCAGCTGAGCCATTTGGATCAACACGGGCGTTAGCATACGTATAGAATATGCACTATGTGCGCACACGCACCTATTGACATTGTATGTATATGCAATTGTATTTGTCCTACAAAGATGGCGTCCAATGAAACGGATCTATTAGTCATGCACTGCAAACCGGGGAAGGGATCTATTGTTTTTTCATTCCAGCAATCTCAAATTAATAATCTCCGTTGATAAATAAAATCAATCAGCATGTATTCTAATTCTTAGGATCATAAAACCAGTTGGGAAAATCCCCATTTTATTTCATCCTGTCAAAAAAGTGCAGAGGCCTTGTCAATAAAAATCAAGCGTCATGCAGATTTTTGTCCAGAGGTTTGGCACGATGCTTGGGACACAGCAGTTCACAGCGAACCCAAAGAGATCTTCACAGTTTCCAGCAACACCTGCCCCCAAACTGATTAGAGAATTTGACTGAGCGATAGATCCTCAGGGAAAACGATGTTCCTCAAGGGTGTCTTGTAAAGCCTAGTGGCACCACTTGTGGGGAAGGGGGGGTTATCGAAACATACTCCAAGACAAGGTCTGGAGTGGGACAGACTTTAATCTCCTTTTTCTCTCTCTCTGTCCCTTGAGCCTTTTTCCCAGTTTGATTAATTGAAATTGGCTGGACGAAGGACGGATTGGTTATGTGTCATGGGGAATGAAGACGCAGGACACATGCCTTAGGTGCAAATCTGTTTGGTGGGAAAATTAGTCGACCTGCGTTGCAGTGGCTATCGCAGAGGGCCTGGGAGAGCGAAGCCCGAGAAATTGTCAGCTTAGAAAAACTGGGCATTGCCATTTTTCACAGCCTGTAATACAAGGAAGGTGTCTTGTAGACAAATCTGTAGGCACTTTGACACTTTTATCAACCTCTGCTCCAAACTGACGAAGCATTTTGTAATTTCAGCCATACAATGTAGTTTGTACTCTCTGGCTTTTGGTAGTGTTTTGGTGGAGTTGGGAAAGTGCAGCTTAGAGACTGTTCTATTCGTCTCAAACTTGCTGTGTCTCAATATGCCACAAGCTTTATACTTGTGAAATAAGGGAGTCACTTTGATGCAAATCACCTCAGTAGGAGTTGTGAATATCTTGTCACTATTTTCATGGTGATTAACGAGTATAACCACATGTGCTAATGTTGAAATGACCTATGTACATGTACATGTACCAAGAGCATTCAAGTTTGGCCAGTTTACCACTTTGTAGAAATGGTCATGATGTGAATGCGTTATGTGCGTTATCATTTTCGTTTCTATTTTTCTTTTGTTTTGATAGAGCTAGGTTGCCCTAACCCAATATTACTCCAGGTGCATGATTGTGCCCTAGCCAAATTAGCATACAGCGAGCGATTGGTCCATTTTCTAATTGTCAATACATGACAGGTGAAAATGGCAGGTGTACTACGATCTTCTTTGTGGTGAAAGCAAACATTGTAAGATTGAGGCTGTAGCAATGACTCAGGCTTTTCCCTTGGCAAACGGAACAAGAGTCTTGGTTTGCATTGCGACATTGTGTCACTTGCCAGAACCTGCCTTGGGATGTCTTGGAAGAAATATATTATTGGAAATATAAAATTTTCTCCCTGGAATCCAGAATATGTGGACAGTAATTTTATGAAAGAATTCATTTTGAATGATACAAACTGAGAGGACTTTTCAAAACCGATTTCTGAGTGTGTCTATGAATGGTTAAGCCCCAGGAAATTTCCCGCATCCTGAATTCACCAGTAATTAATTGCAAATTCTTTGTGCTTGAATTTTAAAGGGGTATCCAGTCCTGTGCATGGGAGAAGTGGCTAGAATTTACCTTTTTTTTCCTCGCAAAACACGACAAATTCTCCTCGAAACCCCAGCTATTTTTGTTTCTGGTTTCACTTGCATGTACCTGCAAAATCTGTCGCAGTGCAGATCCCTCAGGAAGCATCAATGTTCTGCTGTCCTGCGCCTTGCGCATTTAATTTGTGTCTGGAAATTATGCTGGATTAAAAAAACATGTTTCCAGTTTGAGAGGAGAGGGTGACCGCAGTGGCCTGACACTGTCAGGTTAATCTGGTGTGGGGGCACTCCTTACACTAGGGCATGTGTTGAAATGATACACGTAGGTGTTCAAATAATTGTGCTGTTGCTGGATTGTAATCCGATGCAGCGAAGCCTTGTGTTGCTGGGGTTCCCATTATTGGAGTTAATGCACATGGTTATTTGGCCAGCATACCTGTGTGTGTGTTTACTCTCTGAGGCTGGTCAATCAAATGTAACTGTGGTATCTCCTGTATGTGATATCGGGTATGGTTGGGGCCAATAGGGGAATGACAGTGGAGGTTGCCTGCAAATTTTGATGAGCGTCTTGAATACATGAATGGTTAAGAGGGCCACACAAGTGAGCAGTGAGATTGAGTTTCCTAGTTCCTTTGGGGTTATATTCCTCAGGATATTGTATAGCATTGCTGTCTTGTAATACTGAATATTGATACAAAATATGGAATGTTAGTAAGAAACCGTTCTGATAGTAGTTTTTGTCTCATCCTTACAGCTGCTCAGAAACGAGGCAGCACCGGAAGTCGTGAGGCTGTGATGAAACGAGGCAATACGACAGATGGCCGTGACGCTTTGAAGCCCCTGGCCTCGGACACTGACCAGGCCTACACAATGATGCAGCCCATTCCAAAGCACCATGGCAACAGCACAGTGCATGATGGGATAGCAAGCAAAGCCACTGGGCATGTCCCCAAAGCGCCAACTCCCAACAGCCATGGGAAGTCGCGTGGGAGTTTTTCGTCAGTGCCTGGTGCCATCAAGCCCTCTGAGCAGAAGATGAAACCCAGTGAGATCCTTGTTCGCAGTATGTCTGATTCCAAGGAGCCCATCTTGGACACATACATGACCATGGAGTTCCAGCCCAAAGACAGTAAAACGAAATCGCCTGACATTTCAAAAACTGGTAACCTAAGCCCTGGGTTGGATAATATCGATGAGAACAAGAACCGTAAATCGGATTATGTGAATGTTAGCTTACGAGACTCATCTCCCAAGCCAGGGGATAGTGAATATACTTTCATGGTTCCTTCCTCAAGACCAGTGAACGCGAGGAAAGAATCTGATAAAGGACGGAGTCAGTCCGCTGTCGAGAGTCTACTGAGAGGAACCCAGAAAGCAGAGGTGGCTTCACGGGGGAGCGAATACATGAATGTGGAGTTCTCAAAGGGTGGGATGCCTAGTGGAGAGATGCCAGCTAGACCGGTGCCACCCATTCCTGCACGGATACCGGCCGGGAAGCGGGACGATGGGGAGTACATGAATGTGGAGCCGGGGCTGAGCGTCCGACCGCACAGCCCGCGCTCGCCCACATCGCCACCCGTTCTCCCACAGCGAATGAATGTCCTACCACCACGGAACCCCAGCCCTGGAACCCCACCCGGTGCGTACTCACCCAGCCTATCAGGAGGTGGGGCAGGTCGTCGAGCGGCCGATCTGAAAGTGGGTGTGGAGGAGCTGACCCTGAGTGATGGGTCACCAGGCAACTCTGCCCCAACCTCCCTGGGCAGCGCCAGCTCACTGACGTCCGGTAACAAGAGCTGCGAGCCCTCCCCCGGCCCTCCATCGCGCCACTCCTCTTGCCGATCCAGCCAAACCTCCCTGGCTGACCGGGAGCTGAACTACATTGATGTGGATATTGGTCAGCCCGACACCAACAGCTCTGCCATACCGCTGGAGCGGCGTGCTCGCTCACCCTTCACACGTCGAGCAGCCGAAGAGGATAAATCGGCTAAGCCGACAAATTACGCCACGATAGACTTCACCAAGTCTGAGGGCTTACGCAGTGCAACTTCAACACGAGAAAACAGACCCTTATAAAGATTCCTTTCAAGAACCACACGCAGCCTGTCACCAAATTCACCTGCTTTATTATAATATTGATGTTATTTTCTCTCTTTGGTGGCACACAAGGCACACTCTCCTCTTTCTATGCGTTCAATCATCTCAGTTCTTAGTGGATTTTTTTATACATATTCATGTGTCTCAACATTTAATAGGAAGATCTTTTTGAAATACTTTTACATTTCCTTTACACAACAAAAAGCCAGCTCTTCAATCAGTTCCAAGTGGGCGAACAAAGCATATTTAACTTGGATTCATATCTCTCTGGGTTTTTGTTTTTCTTTAAACATCACTTTGTCTTGTTAACGATTAGAGTAAGTTCGTTATTCTCTGGCTGAATGTACTGGTATTCATTTGTAAACCTGCGTTTTTATCAGTAAAGTGGAAGTTTCCCACGCCCAGCTTTACAAAGAGTACCGTGACGGGATGTTCAGATGGCGGACCAATTCAAGTTGGAGATCAACGGGTAAACTCACCATCATGCCAAAGGCATGAAATGTCTTACTGGAAGCCAGATTAGAACCCCGATCCATGGGTGTCAGTCGGGGGCGGGGGGTTACATATCCCCCACGCTTTTTGTCGAGGGTCGTTAAATCATTCCCCCATTTTTTGGTGTTGAGAAAAAACAATGAACGCAGATTGTGCAGATTTGTTTGGACGTTCCAACGACCATAATGTATTTAGTTGCACGCAAAAAAGGGAGAAAAATCTTTTGAAAGTCGTAAAAACGCCGTTTTGATGTAAGTTTCTGCAGTTGTGTTATACCTATTACAGATGTACATCTGTATCGTGACCATCTCCCCCGGTGTCATTTGGTTTCGGCACCCCACCCCCCGCCAGGCAAGTCATCCCGCCCCCCACAATCCCCGTCCTTCTTACCGGCACAAATTTACGCCGGCTCCCTTCCGAGAAAATTACAGTTAGGCTGTCCTACCATTACCAAAGACGTGGTTGTAAGTAGCAGAAGTCATCATAATCTTCAGGAATTTTTGTTTTCACAGGGACAGGAACTTACAACTAAGCAAATGAGAGAATTACTAAACCTCATTAGTTTTAGAGAGGAACCTTGACCCACTTACTCTACGTCGTGCTACCGATGTATGTATAATTACTCGGCATGATGAGGATTCGAAATACCAAGCGTACCAAAAACCTTATTCGTTTCCCTCAGAAGATTTGTATTCTTTTGTCCCGTACTTTTCTAGTCCAAAGATTCTTAATTTTGAGTAGGTTTTTTCGAGCATCTTTGTGAAGCATGTTAAGTGTAACATTATGATCATAAGGTATTTAATCAGAAGAGAAAACTGATCTAATGTGAACCGCTGTTGTTTCCGTAAAATGTTTACTGATATTCACACTAGTAATTGTGTTTCTGGAATCCCAGCGTCGTTGAAATTTCTGGTGTTTGTATTCTTGTAACGTGCAGTACGATGCTGTCCGCTATTCTGTGCGAATGCGATATCAGCTGTAGACGTCACGCAGTACTATTTTTATCGTTCGACGCCTTCTGCCGTTGTGCTCGGTCTTTTATACATATCAGTAATTGGAGCTCAGTGAATGATTTTCCTCAAAAATTTGGCCTCTACGATAGATGTAATGTGGCGTTGTTTGGCTTGGGTTTAAAATGTGGGACCCTTCAATGACCAAAAATATAATTTAATGTTACCAAACCAGTTTTGCCTTGATTCTGCTGTTGCAGGTGTGTTCATTATATTTAACTGCGAAATATAGGTTTCCCGGCCAAATTCGGAAAATGCGCGATATTTCGATTTAGCGTAGGTTTTGAAAACGACTTGAAACCTGGTTTCATTTTCGCAATAAGAAGCATTCGACTTCGTTTGGCATCCTTAAAATAAATGCAGGTCCATTACTTTTCATTAATTAAAGAGGTTACAGACACGTCACTGGGATTTTGGCGTATTTCTTGTTAATTACAGCAAATGTGCATTCTTATTCGCTGAAAATCTGTCTTTTACCGTGACCCTTCGGAAGTGAGTATTGATTGTTGTTTGCTGTTATTTAAAACCGCAAATTATACGTTCAATTTGATTAGAATATACAAGGCTACACAAATCACTACACCACAAAAATGTCTTGTCACTCATTTACAGTGTGTTTGTTATCAAACTGTCAAAAAAATCCAGGTTTCTGCTTGAAACGCAGTACAAGAAATAAGATTCCCTCAGTGCCGGTGCTTATAGGTTTTCTACTATAGACGGTAGTTTCCAATGACAACATGAATAATTTATATCAGTCATGAATATTCAAACATTTAACTAATCAACGAAACACTTCTAAGAATGTCACTTCTGTTAACATACAAACGAATTCAATTTCTTGACCAGGCATATAAATGACATTTCGTGTGAAATTGCCTGCACATTTTACGAAATAGCTTGAGTTCAAATTAAGATGAATGCAGGATTGCAGAGGGGCATTCAATTTGGCCCAGAAATGAATGACAATATTCTACACCGGTGCAACATCAGGAAATTGAATGCTGACTCCATACGACTGAAAGCACCCTCCTTGAAATAGAATTTTATTTATTAAATAGAAACGGGGATTTCAATGTTCGTTCTGTTTCACTTGAAAGCGAATGCTGCTATTACTAATTCATTGACACATTTCCGCAAATGGCCGGGAAAACCTATCGTAGAAACTGTTCTCTGTTGGAAAAACGTCACTTTTCAAGCTAAAGGTAAGATAGTGAAAAGTTCTTATTGAGGGTGGAGCAGCGTTAGTACGTTTGTTGCACAGCCCCCCAAAAATTGAAATTCCTAGCCTTTTCTCTAGACTACATTTTCACGGAGCTTAAATGTAACTTTTCCCTGAACTGTATTGTTAGTTGACTGCCTTTCTCTAAAAGCAGAAATCATTCTTCATCGTCTGTCATAATATTGTGATGTAGTGCTCAGAAGTAAGTACATGTAACTCATCAGGCAGCTGAATTACGTCACACCACGATGGCGTAGCTCAGCGCATGCGCCACTAAGTCTTGATCCATTGTTTTGCTCATTCGTACGTACTTGAATGGGGTCTGTGATGTTACGGAAAAGAAAAAGGCTCATTTATAGTTGAAGAAAGACGTCATAGATCTTTACTGATTAATGTACAGTTTGAAGTAACCCGCAAATATGGCCGTGTGCTGTTTATTTTGCCCCGGCTTGAAATTATGCACGACTCTATTCGAAGTGGCTGGAGCCACTTCCACAGACTCGTGTGTAACTTCAAGCCGCAGCGAAGCCATTCAGACTCGGACTTTCATCTGAACTCTTATTTGGTTTGAGACCGAAACCCACTTTTTTGTGTGTTTTTGATATGTAATGTAGGAGGGCCTGACGTTCCGATTCCGGCTGAATATTTCAGAAGATGCTTCTTTGGGTATAAAAATGTTGGTGTGGCGAGAATTAGGAAAATTTAGAATCACATATAGAGCGAACAGTCCATGTACATTCATGTTCAGGTTTTGTGTCAGTGCTCAAGAGCAACTTCGTGTACATGAAGTGACATACATGTACAATACACGCGTGAATGGCCTGTTAACAAAACGCCAAAAAGATTTCAGTATGGTATAATTTGTAGGGCTGATCCTAGTCATATTTCGATGAAAAGAAATCGGAGACTTGGTATGGATTTCACTACAAGCGAATTTTCTAATTTAGATGTTTTATGCTGGATCCCGCACTTCTCACAGCATTGTCTGTTTTTTTTCTTTATATTACTTTACCAAAAAAAAATCAGGAATCAAGCGTTTATGAAAGAATCGATGCCTGTTTCACCTAATATTTTTGAAATATTGAAAAGTCATTTACATTCGCACTGGTATTTTCAGAATCACATTGTAAGGGGTCAGGGTCGGATCGATTATTTGTTATTGGTATAGTTGAAATAAACCGAATCTCTTTCGATATTCGTTTACCTCAAACCGTACGGTATACACCTTTCTTTTTTCTCCTATTTTTGTAGCTTACTTTTTAGAAAAAAAGCTGCCTCATTATCGATTGATTGATGAGCTGTTAATAGTCCTTATCAGGTTGTAGATTTAAGTTTGTGCGTTTTGTCAATTTTAAAATTTTAGATTTTCAAATCAAAAGTGAGATTTTTAGTAGCAGCCAAAACAGTGGAGACGGATATCTGTGTGATTTGTTTTCATTTTTTGTCCATGACGAATGAGTAAAGTTCGTGTTAGTTTGTAAGTGCTGTATCGGGCAGATGCTTCCCTTGGAAAGTGGTTACATCGTGATTGTTTCTATCGAAATATTCAAAATGTGTAAATAAATTCATGAGAGAAAAATACTTTAAAGAAGCCAAATGATGTTTATGTTATGCTGCTGAAGGTACATTGACGTATGTATTAAAATCAAGAACAACTCAAAGTGATGACAGTTGGTCTAGTTCTTTCTTACCCAACCCTGTAGGCTCTGAGCTCAAGTAACTCTTGTTAACTAACCAGGCCAACCGCCTGGTCTCCGCGCTTCCATAATGAACCAGTTCGGTATTCTATTAAACAGTACATGCTCCGCTATAGAGTCTGAAAGTAAAAGGTCACACAGCGAGCTTCCGCAACCCTCGCGCGTTCCATCTGTAGGGATTTTATATTGGGCCGTCCTATCACGTTCAACAATTCTAGAAAACAATTCCTTACTGATATCACCCATTGAAACACATGTTGGAATTTTACCTATGTCTGCCTCAAGTAATATTTTGGAAAAGTCACCTGGAGATGGGTAAAGAACGAATTTTCTTAACGACCTTTCACGTCGGGCGATATCATACCTAGGTGTCCTTGTTCATGCACGTTTGTTTTCACTCGCCGTGCTTTCTTGGAAACGAGATTGTACAACCTTGCAAACCTTACCTGTATAGTCGATAGGTTCCAGATTCCGTCGAGTTGACGTCACGCAGTTATTGCCAGCAAAGGTTATATAAAATCTTAGAATCTTTCTTAGAAGTCGAATATTGCTTTACATTTATTAACTTATAAATTATCAAAGTGTCTGAAATATTTTCATCTGTTTTTATTTCGGATTTTAACCACAGACTACCGTAAAATTCCAAACGGTAAATGTTCATCTGTGGACGAGACTGGCGCATTGCACTGTTGTACATGTACATGTATTTTAGATTTTCGGAAGCGATGGGTCAATTTTTGGGAGGATATTTCTCTTTTAGATCGGGTAATTTTTTAGTTTCTATAAATTGATATACTAGCAAATATTTTCAAAGCCCTTTTTCCAAGTTGGATTTTTTTTCACTGAACGAAAAAGTATTACAAATTCTAAAATCTTTACACGTTATTTTCCTATCCAAGGGCTCCGGAAGCGCGCCATCAGGGGTCAACTTTCAGGCTCTATTCGGGCTTTTTCTTGAATAGACTGGTTTCCGTCCCGTACGTAGTATCCAGACGTCTTACAGACGTTCTCCGAAAGTGTAGGGACTGGTAGTGGGTTGTGCATCCTGCCAGTTGTATGTAAATAAGGAAACAACGCCCGCTCAGTGCACAAATCAAGCAGGAGCTGATCGCCTGTTTCGCTTTTTCTTCGTTACTGAAAATAAATTTACCATCACTCACCTAAATTCCTTCACAGTAACCTCTGATTAGAAATAAATTACCGTAATTCTTTGTCGATAATAATCATTGAAAATTAAATTTCCACACTGTGATCAACAGAGACTTAGCAAGGATTGGCGTGAATTTTTCATGTGGACCAGTGACAGCGGCAGTCTAGACATCTTCATTAACCACATCAATTCTTTCCACAGAACAATTAAGTTCACTTTGGAATATTCCCTCCATCAGGCCAACTTTCTCGATGACAGCATCTGGAAGGAGAACAACCTCGTGACTACTGACCTGTAATCCAAGCCCATAGACACCCCTCAGTATCTTCACTCATCCAGCTGTCACCCAAGACACTGCAAGACTGGTATTGCATACAGACAAGCACTCAGGCTGAGACGCATTTCTTCTAATGATTTAGATTTCTCCCGTCAGACACAGGAACTGAAGGGGCATTTGATTGCAAGGGGGTACAGCTACCACCAGGTTCAACGCTCTATAAACAGGGCCCACTCCGTCCCGCTCAAGGAGAAGACCCCCCGTGAGGAAACCATCCCCAGGGTTCCGTTGGTCACCACTTTCACCTACGTCTTCCCTCCGCAAAAGAATCATCGACGATCATCATCCTCCACACCTCAGACCGTCTAGCCAGTCCAATCCCAGACACCCCGCTTGTGGCCTACAGGCGTCCCCTTAATCTACAGGACTTTATCATTCGGGCAGAGGTGCCCCCTTTGGATACCCTTCCCCCTACCAGCATGCCACATGGAAGTGTGAATCTAACAGATGTGTTGTTTGCCAGAACCATTACCTGGAATCAGATACATTCTCTGGACACTCCTCTGGTACCACCCACAGAACCAAAGGCACTATCACTTGTAGCTCTTCTAATGTCATATATCTTATCTCTTGTCGGGTGTGCAGAGGTCAGTATGTCAGAGAGACCAAGAACACTCTAGAAGCGTTTCTATGGCCACCGATCTACAGTCAACACCAAAAGACTAGATACCCCTGTAGGCCACCACTTCAACCTTCCTAACCATTCTATGTCTGACATGATATTACAGGGCATAGAACCACTTGGGTTCCGTAAAGATGCTGTTCACTTCAAAAGGGAGAAGCTTTGCATCAAACGCCTCCACACCATACAACCCCATGGGCTGAACATCCAAGAGGGAAACTACTAATTAACCCTCTTTTCTTTCCCTCTCTTTTGTCAGCAGATTATACCCCTCCCACTTGGGGTCCAGTTCGTTCCATTGTATTTTTCTTTGATCTCTTCCCACCTTACATCCCTTTGTTACTCAACCATATCTTCCATGCTTGGATAATTCTTTGTTTGCTTGTTTGTCCTGTCCACTTGTCATTTTGCCTTTGAGAAAGATTCTGCTAGGATGGAAACGTCAGGCCCTCCATATTAAGTGATTTTTTTTTAAAATTTATGCCAAGATTTAGTATATCAGCCCCGACATGGCTTTATGCGCACCATAATTGGCTGTGCCCAAGTCACGGCTGCGACTCGAAATAACACTTGCACTTCTGGCTAAGGGCTAGCTGCCGGCTAATTCCAGGCTTTGACGTGTGTCATCAGGTTTGTTGAAGCTGAGTAATTGAGACACGGCCTTAGATGTCAATATCACAGCCGTCTTAAGCTGAAAATAAGTTACGAATCTCTCTCACCATTATTCTGCCCTTCAACTTAGTTTGAATAAATCGATGTAATAACTTTGGAAATAGTTTTATACAAAACTTTTTTTTGGGGGGGGTGTCTCAGCTGTAAAATACAGTCGAGCACCATTGCTGTGTTCTTTGGTGATGAATAAAAGTTACCGTGATGCTCAATGTATAAAGTTGCCAGATGCGAAGGACATTTTAATGCCAAATTGTAGCTGCACTGTCATTAAATAATTAGTAGTCATTACGTCTTTAATATACTTTCATCCTAATTGACCAATCGTTCAGCGGAGGTCAAGGTCACGTTCAGTCTTGAAACGGAAGCTACAACTCTGACGTTAGGTTAACTATAATCGCATTGTCCTTGTTTGCTTGCAATTGGTCAAATAGAATGATTCTGTAACAACCCGTAGGAGTGGCTTATCCTGTAGACCTTACTCTGTTGCAATGAGAGTGTGGGCAAAGGTTTAATGCTTACTTAATTCTCTTCTTAACAAAAACTCATTTCGACCAATTGATAGTATAATCTTTGAAGGTAAATCAATTAACCACCCCGTCGAAATTCCTAATTGTTTTAACGATTGTTTTATTAACATAGGTCCGAATCTTGCTAGTAGTTTACTTGCTGAACATTCAGCTCATAACCTTAAGGATTACTTGATAAATCCTAACCAAATTTATCCTTTTTTGCCAACAAAGGAATATGAAGTAATTAATATTGTTGATAACCTACAAAACAAAACGAGTTCAGGACATGATTGCATTAGTACCTCTATCTTAAAAGGTTGTATTACTGCTATAAGTAAACCTCTTACTCATTTAATTAATGCTTCCCTTTCAACCGGTGTTGTTCCCTCACAACTAAAAATTGCTAAAGTTATTCTAATTTAAAAAAGGGGACCCCTCTTGGGTAAACAATTATAGACCTATTTCTATATTATTGTGTTTCTCCAAGATTTTTGAAAAATGCCCTCATGCCCGTGCAATTAAATTTCTTGACAAATACGAAATTTTAAACTCATCACAGTTTGGGTTTCATATAAAGCATTCAACCACCCATGCTTTACTAACCTTTATAAATAAAGTCTCTAATGCCATTGTTGACTCCAAACATACTCTGGGCATTTTCCTTGATCTTTCTAAAGCATTGGATACAATTGACCAAATCCAACTAACAAACTTTCTTTTTATGGTGTATGAGGAATTGCCCTAGAGTGGTTAAGGAGTTATTTCTCCAATCGTATGCAGTTTGTGTCTATAAATGCTTAAATTCAAAATTGAGTCCTCTTACCCACGGTGTACCCCAAGGATCAATCCTAGGTCCCTTGCTTTTTATAATGTATTTTAATGATTTCACGAAGTGTTCTAAACTACTTTCCTTTATTTTGTTTGATGATGACTCTAATTAATTTCTTCCCATAGCAACCTTAATTACTTCACTGATACAGTCAACACAGAACTGAAATCAGGTTCAGAGTAAACAGATTGTCCTTAATATTTTAAAAACAAGTTATATGCTATTTAATAATTCTGCTCAGGAATTGCCCAGTAGCACTATGATCGACAATTCTGTTATTACCAAAACTGATTGTAATAAATTTCTTGGCCTGGTTATTGATTCGGGACTTACGTGGAAAAATCATATTGACCATCTATGTAAGATTGTCTCTAGGAATGTACATGTAGGTGTACTTAAAAAGTTATTTTTATTAAAAGGTATATTTTTTTAGTTATATTTTGGAATCTCTTTACAATACCTTGATTGTTTCTCATCTTAACTATGGCCTACTTGCTTGGGTTGCAGTTTTGCCACTAATTTAAATAGACTGATTTTGCTACAGAAAAGAGCTTTTACAATCATACAAATCCTCTTTTTATCAAACATAAGACCTTAAAACTTAATGACATGTACAGTGTTCAACTTGGGTCTCTGATGTATCAATGTACAAATAACAGGTTGCCGTCTTCTATAATGAGTATAATCAATCAGAATCGTAACATTTATTTTCACCTTACTCGACAATTTTCTAATTTCCATATTTCAAATAACCGTACTTCTCTTTCTCAAGAAATACTGTTAAATATAGCGGACCTAAGCTCTGGAATTTCTTCCCTATTCAACTTAGAATTTCCACCAATCTGTCTTTAAACGATTTTAATGCTACCACAATTCAAACATACCATTAATCATGCCTGCGTTTAACTTACTTTATATCCTGTGGTTTTGATAAGCCTGCTGATCTGTACTGCGTTTTTTGTTATTTGTATTTCTATGTAATGTGTATGTGTGTTGGATGTCTTACATGTATTTGCATTTCCCATTTATGGTAATGTTTAATGCAACAGGCTCATGCTTAAAAGCTTTGCTTCCTAATGGGCTCCCCTGCAGTATCTATAAATAACTACATGTATATGTATATGTATATGTATTTACATGTAATTTGAATACGGATACTGCATAAATAACAAACAAAGATACTTCTTGCGTAACCTTACTCCATACTTACCCTGAGATATTTTTCTAAACGGAAATCTTACGGACCTCAATTCTGAATTCGAAACCAATTTCGGCAGCCGATATCAGTGCACTTCTATTCTGGACACGTCTACTCTCATATGTATCCCTTTAATTATTGATGTTCCCGGATAGAGACGGTCAAGTTGGAGTAATGAAATTTGATAAACAAGTAGCAGGATTTGAATCGCGGACCAATGATCGGTTTGCATATTCAGCCTGTCCAGTCGGCCTCAGAACTCACTTGACAAAAGAAGGAAGGATTCCCTTCAAGTTTAAACCATACTGCTTGCTCATTTTCGGGCTGAAAGCGAGGCTTAAAGCCTTGGCTCCATAACGAGGCAAACCGACAGTGCCATCTTCAATTACTTTTCTAGCAAAAAAGCTATGTAGGCCTATCTTGGAAACTTCAGATTAATACGTATAAGGCTTTTCTGAAGCCTGTCGGTTCAACAGCATCTTTGCGTATGCGCAAAATTCACCACTTCATATTTGTCTCTGCAAAATTGTCACTGTTTTTGTGTGTGTGTGTGTGTCACCTTTGGTCAGGCGGGGGTTACCCATGCGAACAGGAGTAGAGCATGTCACCTGCTGGAATCCACCCTAGCGGTCCTGGCAGATGTTTGGGGCCGGCTGGAGGAGGGTCGAGTCGGTATGCATTTCACTCTGGCTTAGTAGTTTCAATCACATCTCGGAATAACTCAAAACGTGATGGCCGTGGAACAGGTAATGCAATGATTAGTGAGGCAGACGCGTTTTTAGAGAGTTCGAGGTTAGTTATCAACATCACTTGCTTAACCTCTCATTCTCCCACTACGAATTCGTTGGTTATCTTAAAACATGGGATGATTTGCTTTTCCCTGTGCGAAGATAACAGTAAGTTCATAATGAAACTATATAATTATAAAGAAAAGATTGTTGTTTTTCTTGCTTGAAATTAGTTTGTGTATGCCCAGGTATAAGGGCGCTTCTAACAAGATTAAAATGAAACGCCACTGGGAAACGCAAAGCTAACAATTTTTCTTGGGGGAATAAATTATTTATATTCCCAATGAACAGACGAGGTTTTGGTTTTCATCCCTTAAAACCTACTTTTCCCTTGCAGCACGTAAAAGCGTCGTAAACGATCTTGTCAAAATGTTATCTGGGATGTAGTCAAGCTGGATATTTTCCAGTGTATGTACTTTTCACGAGAAACTGTTCACCATACTTTATCCACGATGCAGGGAAAAGATCTCGGGCACGACCGCCCTTCTGGCGTGACCATGTCACTAAAAAATGTTTTTAGGATGACCTTCATTAGATGGCACAATCTTTGTCCTTCCTGTACTGTGGGAATTAAAGGTGTGATCACCTTAACAAGAGCACTTACGAGTCACTGAGCATGTCTACGCATGGATACATCTTCGATAGGTTTTCATTATAATGAATAACACATTGCCATTCCTTCCCAAAGGTACCGCTGTCCGGCGCGGAAATGACGACCTTCATTATTATTTAATTGGGGACAGAAGCAATGAACCAATGCGCTATTAAGATTTTATAGTCTGCTAAATGCATAGTTTTGAGTCATCATTTGCCAAATGATTATGATGCGTAAAGCAGTCATTGTTAAGAGCAACAGACATGCCGTGTTGAAACTTTTAATGAAAGAATACCTGGCCGTCATTTTTGCGACGATGCAAGAAATTTGAAACGCCTGTCGAGGACCCAGGTTCCACCCGAGCTTGTAACCAACTGCATGCCGTAACGGCTCTCAACATCAAACCGAGACAATCACTAATTGCTCCCCTAAACCAACCCATAACGACGCCGAAGCATCCAGCCACTCTCTGTTACGCTGTTGTCCGTTATTGATGAGGCGCGCACATCGTACGTGCCTGGGCGTTGGTGTCTCCTTCATCAACGCTGACTTCCGCGGCTCTACGGCTCCTCACCACGCACTGGTTGTAATTAGTGCGGGAGGACCACGGCTGGTGCATTTCCTACACCTTTGATCACCACTGATCTCGCGTCACGTTCCCTGACGCAGGGCATCGCATTTTGGAGAAGCCTTGCGTATCCAGAGCGCGTGATTAAAAGCCGTGAATTGGTAGGTTTTCACCATAATCTACGCAACTTGGCTGCGATGTATCTTTCCCGTGGCTAGCATCTGTTTGTCATTAATGTTATTACCGCCTATTTTCTCGCACGTAGGGAAGTTTTGAGCGATGACTTGCTCGAATTCCTGGTTTTTGTGTGATTTTGTACTTCCTTGGAGGTAATGGTTCACTTGAAGGGGGGGGGGCGGTTTGCTTAAGCGAATAGTACATCGAAAGGACAGTGCCTTTATGAGAAATTGAAGCTGTAAGTTGGTGGGGAGTCATCATTATGCAACGATGTAAGGTTGAGTGCAGATGACTATACTGTAAAAATTCAGAATTTTCATGTTTTCCGAGCAATCTCCTGTCCATTTTTGGTCAGAGTGTCCCTTGAATCTGTCTTGGGAACTTGTGACAAACTGAGAATTTCCTTGAAGTCTCTAGGCAGCCTCTCCGCCTGCGGATTTCTAGAACCCAACTCAAATGAAGAAGAAGAAAAAAAAGCCCAACCCCGCTTAGAAATGCTTCTCCCATACGTACGGGTTAGGTCGAGATGCCCTAAGAATGGAAGGAGGGCCTCATTTCGTGTCATATAACAGCCGTCGATGTAATGATTGCCATTCAACAGCCGTCGATGCAATTATACCAAATAGGAATTATCATAATTATAATTCTCTTTGTCCTGTCTTCGTCGAACTTGTTAACCCATAAACTGTGACATAGTTCTGGTTATGCTGACCGTGTTAAATTTACGAGAACATACCATGTCGGTACCTAGCCCTCCGTTTACGGTTCTTCCTCCCTCTATATCTGTTCGTCACTGCGTTGATACATTTGAACTATCAAATTGTTTTACGACTCCTGTTTGAATATAGCCGTGAAAGTTACTCATTACCGTCTGGCATTGTGCCCGTTGTCGTCAGTGGCGTGGCCATTGTCGTGTGGGGGGGAAGGGGAATATGAGTCTCCAGGGACAGTTAGGCCTACCCGTCCTGGTTAGTAGTTGTCATGGTTATCGCTTCCGAAAGTAAGTTATCGTTTCTACCGTGACAGAGAATCGCAATTATTGTCGCTCAATTATCGTCATGGTGATGGTTGGTCGTCCGCACTGCGCGCAGGCTACCGGTATAACGCACAAACCAAAACCAGATATTGGCGCAGACGGACATAACAACCAGACTTCACCTCTAAACATACTGAGTCTGTATTCTGTATTTTATTTGCGCACCCTAGATTGGGTATAATAATATTCCACACACTGAAAGAAACTTGTAAAACTTATTTAAAACCCCTGCTGCCAAAAGGAATGTTCTGGCGGAGATTTCGGTCTAATAAACACTACTGTGAAATATATACATTGCAGTCACTATTGTCAAGCTCTTATAAACGCAAATTGCTTACCTGTACCTTTACAAAATGAGAAGGTTGACAAAATTTATACGTATGAATTCAACTAGCCTTCAGAAGCCCTTGGGCAACAGAAGAAAGGAAGAAGGAATAACAGCCACATTTGTTCCGTATGACAGTAATGATTCTCGCCATGCATAAAATACTCCTTAAATTTGGAATTAGTACCTTATAACAATACTCATTTATGTTTACATCTCACAGTAGAATACTCTAGAAGGCCTTGATTGAAAGCAACTTCTTGCTATAATGGGCCTAATGACGCACGTTACAAACTCAAAAACTAAGCAGAGAATGTGAACTGTTAGTCTTAATCAATGGAGCAAATTTCATATCCTAAAGGCTTTGCACAATCGTTGTTGATCAAAGAAATGGACAACTTATATGTGCTTTTCTGTATTCACAGCAAGGAAACTTACCTTCATCTGGTATGAATAGATTAAGTCATTTGTAAGGTTTCATAGCTTATTATGCCCGACTTCTCTTTCAGTTTGACTCAAATTGAAATTTTGAGTCTAAAGGCGATAGCGTGTTTGAGTAATGTCTGTCGACAGGCCCAAAAAGGACTCGGATAAAAATTTGAAGTGACGTCGAAAATCCGTGGCTTGGCATAAAATTTGACAGCTCTGGAGAACTACAATTACACTATGAAAGTCAAAATAAATATCTGATATGTGCAGCCAACTTCTGCATGTGTGGTTTACGTTTTTATCCTATGCTAATGTTCAAGCTACACTGCAAGCATACACTCGTCAAAGGTTCAATGTTCCATTTTAAAATTAAACTTAAAATTACACCTTCCAAATCCACAAAAATATGTAAAACCCTCCCCAGCATTCTTCATAAATCAATAAATGTATTTCCGTCTGTTAACTGTGTTTAATTCAACAATTATAGACAAATATATATATTTTTCTCTGGAATGGTGGATAATTGTTCACAACAGTTTAGGCATTCGTGTTAGGCGTACTGAAATTTAATGTTGTTTTACTTCCCCAAATACTGAAAAAAAGAAGAGAAAAATATAGCGTTGTTGTCCACTTCTGGTTCAAATCTAGGTTCCCAAGTCGGTGACGTCATGTCGCGAATAGCTGTTGAGACGGCGAAAGCCTCTTTTGCTGAAATCTACCGTGGAGAAAAAAATGAAAAGGGAAAATTACATATCGTGTCAATGTAATCCTGTGGTGATCCTGACAGAAATACAATGTACTCCTGGGTCGTATTAAAACAGTATGCACCAGAGCAGCATCGAAGGCAACGACATAAAAAACGTAGGTTAAAGGTGGTTGGGTGCCGTGAAAGATGAATCGGTCGCGTGACAGCAAATACCAACTGCAGGAAACTTCATAACAGATGTTAATGGGTTGGCTTACAGAGATTAATTTGTAATGTCGCACGAAATGGTTCTAAAAAAAATCTCGTCGAAGGCTTGTGTGAATATTAAGGTCAAGTTGGCAATCCGCTTTTAGATTTAATTAATGAAAGGTGTGCTGTCTTCTGGGGATCAGTGTTTGACTTCAGAAAGCAGGTGGGGCTTTTAAAAGTCACGTTTGAACTGTACAAGTCTTTGAAGGAAAACCCAAATCCACTGCACAACAAAACCAGTAGGTGTAACTTTGAAAAAAAATCTACGATTGTACTGATGAGCTTAACTGAGAGGAAACAGGCGCTCCCAAAGTATTATAAACGTGGCGTCTTAAAACGTGTAAAAATGTCACTGATACATAAGAAATATATATCTTTTCAAAAACAAATGCATTTTCTTCATTAGCTTTTCTACGCGGTTTGATATCAATGCTCCTGCTCGTGGTTGTCCGGTGAAATGGAACTTCAATGATGGGATATCGGATAAGTTGGAATGGGTTGTGCATAAGGAGTGGGGTTTCAAGGGAATTCTGGCGGTGTTTGGGGGACATCGTTGATTGAATATACCTTGCCGAACCCGTCAGACAAACGTTGAGCGCTTGGCAATTTGGGGGATGTTTTAAAATTTCTGGATTGCATTGGAAGGCTTCAATATCCAATCAAGGTGTTTGACGTAAACCCCCATGCCTTTGATGTTACAGATTACGTAAGTGCGTGACCAACGTAACTATGAAACACTCATCAAAAACAATTTGTAAAACATGGAATGATTGAATCACAGTTCTGCGTTATCTGTCTAATCTCACATCATCTACCGGGGCACCAAAGAAACTCTTTAAAAACGACGGCACGGGGAGTTTACATAATCGCCACAGGATTGGTGGTTGTAAAATGTTACATCTTTCCGATCCAGCTTGGATTGAGAGAGCGCAGCATTGTCACCGACGGGTCTTCAGACCTTCCCGTTTGCTCCACAGAGCATGTGAAATGATGCTCCAGTTTCGCCCAGTGAGCGATCTATAATTCATGCCGAGGCAGATCACATGCGACACAATAACGACTCGATGAATTATCACTCGTCCACAGGGTCCGAATCTGCGTCAAACTCTAAGGCTAATATCAGACCGAATTTTTTTCAAAAAATCATTCTGCTGGGACGCTCTAAACGCGGCAGACTCATTAGCATGCTCTGCGCGGGAATTTTTGATAAGTTTACGCGGTGCGTTGCCATACCTGAGGGAAATTTTGAAAGAAAATTTGGTTTTTATGACGCCGTTATTAATGTGATGAAGTGTCAAGCCAGACTGATTTCATAAATTTTGAAAAGATATACAGTAAACACCAGGGTGTTCGGGGTTACTTAATTTCATTAGTATAATTTTCGTTAATGTTTACGTGTAGCCATTTTTCCTACTTCTCGGAAAGTCAAGCCAATTAAGGCCTGCCGTACTTTGTGAATTCTATCGACATTATCCATTATCTTATTACGACAAATAATATGCCCTGGGAGAGAACGTTGGGCATTTTGATGGGATAACATCACAATTAAGCTGTCTCATTGATTCATGCCCCTCTTTGTGCTGACGTTACTGTTTTCCACTTTCTATGCGGACGGTGGCAAATTTCAGAAATTTTACACACGAGTGAGGTGTATTTTACTGCTTTGGTAGAACTATAATCTAATCAGGCAACGAGGTATTTTTTTCTGAAGTACTTTTGTACTTGGTAGTTATTACCTTTAATTTGTGCAGGACGAGGCCCGAATAGTAGAGATCGGGGGGAATCGCGTAGGGTGACTCGTCCACGCCAGTTGGGCGAAGACAGTGTGCCCGCTACACGGTTTCCAGATCGGAGTCGAGTTCGCTTTAAATCAATAATGTTGGTTCAGTAGCGCCGACTGCAATGATCCAGGTAATGCCCGTTCACCCGTCTTCAATATCACTGTTTGCTTCGGTGTAATTGATCAACCTAAGGTTTTCATGCCCTGAGAGAGTATCAGACAGATTGTGAGCAGCGTAGGAACAGGATTTTTCCTCAAATATATGGTATGTGGCGAAAATCTTACGCAGATACTTATAATACTGTCTCCTGACGTTGTGTTGTGTTTTTTTGGTCAAACCTGACAGCCGAAATCACCCCCAACCCAAAAGGTTAATTTCTTTCAATCTATTTGTATCATTTTAACTAGTTAATAACAAGGGGCTTGCTGGATTGAATGGTGACCGGGAGAAATGAAAAGGATGATTTTTATATTCAAAATGTAAGGGATACGACATTTCCTGTCGATCACGTATGATGTCTTCGATCTACTTTTCAGCATAAAAGTTTGCCTAGCAGTTCATGTTTCCCCTGTCCTTAATTTTGAGCCAGGTACCAGTCCAAATGTTATTCAAGTCTTGCTTGTGACTTTCTTTTTTCGACATATATGATAATGTCATATATCACAACGCAAAATAATAACGCAGGGAAGGGAAGTATAGTGGGCAACGGCGTATCCAGGTTTTGGTGTCAGGGGGCAAATTAAAAAGCGAATGAGGCCTTGGACTCCTTCATCATAATGTTAACATAATAATAATCAAAAGCCTTATGGTCTCGACATTATTTGTTGGTGTTGTTTTCTTAGGGCTTTGGTGCTAATATTTCCTAAAGAAATATACTGATTATTTTCTTTCGTATTTAACTGTGAAGTATTTAAAAAAAATCGCAGGGGGGGGGAGTTGCCCCTTCCGCTGGATACGCCACTGCTAGTTCGTAATATATGGTTTGTCCGCCATTTTGTTTTGATGTGTAGATTTCTATTTGCTCGTTGGAATGTTCCGTATTATGTGGAAATTTGTGGATTGTACTCGGTCTCGCAAAGTCTGCCAAGTTTACGAGGTCAAGATTTTAAAACACGCCCACCCCTACAAGCGAAGCGGGTCGAGACCTATCGGCCGGAGGACAGAGCTAGACTGCTGCTGTGTTTACTGAGGCTGCAATCCTATTCCTGACCAGCACTTCCGTTTGGGATTAAAAAGGAATTTGAAATTCGTCGACTGATCACGGCGGCTGCACTTAGGGACGGAAAAGCCGGTTAATAATTGACGACAAGCGTTACAGCTCTTCGTTCTTGCATAGAGCTAAGAACACAGCTCTATGGCGTTTATATGGGCTCGAGAATTGACCTGCTTTTAAATCCATGCCTGAGTAAACAAACGCTTGCCGCTTGCATATAATTACAAGCCATTAGGTATATTGCAGTGGTGGCATGTACGCAGGTGGTACGCGCGCGTTAAATGGGGTGCAACCTCGACTCCATGGGCTGCGTGCACGTTCCTTCATTAGGTCGCGCAATGTATGGTGGAAACCAGCATGGTGCGGCAAGATCGTACCCGTGGGAACGAGGTGGCATGGGGTG